TAGTAAGGAACCCTAAGGAATAACAGTGGTAATCATCGAGGTTTCTATAATCAGTGCCGCCTCTCGAAGACACCCAGCTCGAAGAAGCGCTCGCAACCCTTGGCGACCTCCAGGGGGCCCCTGTTTCTACACCTTCGTTGAGTTCGAGTTGGTTGCCGATTGGGGCTCAGAGTTGATGTAAGGGGCCTTAATAATTAGAATGGGGTTTTGGGGGGTGCATTAAACTATAGTTATAATGAGGACCCCCCCAAAAAAAAAATAGTATAGGTAATTCTTAAGGCCCCTATAGATTAGAACCTTAGAGCTTTATTTGGGCCCCTATATTTCGGTACCCAAAACCTTCTGTCGCAATCAACCCAGAGTCGAAAGAACGACTCCACCTTCGAAGCGAAGCACGGGGATGCCCGGTAGGCCACAAAACCATTTTAGGGTTTAGGGTTTAGGGCTTAGGGTTTAGGGTTTAGGGTTTAGGGTTTAGGGCTTAGGGCTTAGGGCTTAGGGTTAGAGTTTAGGGTTTAGGGTTTAGGGCTTAGCGTTTAGAGTTTAGGGTTTAGTGTTTAGGGCTTAGGGTTTAGAGTTTGGGGTTTAGGGCTTCGGACTTAGGGTTTTGAGTTTAAGGTTTAGAGTTTCGGGTTTAGGGTTTAGGGCTTGGGGCTTGGGGTTTGGGGTTTAGGGTTGGCAGTGGTCCTCTACGTGCCCCTGAAACGATGCGTCAGTGGCTTCTCCGCTGTGAACCAGAGCCATAGACCCCTCAATGCTAATGAAGGTGCCTTAATTACTAGAATGGGGTTTTGGGGTATAGCAAACTATAATAATGACAATAGAGAACCCTCAAAATGGTAGAGGTAACTATTAAAGCCCCCATATTAAACTCCTGAACCCTGCACGGCCTCCAGAACCTCTCCGACATGCCCTGCTTGCTGCAACCTCTGCAAACAGCTGTCCTGGCTTTTGGCGAATGCAGAGTCGAAGATCGACAGCAGTTCGTTTGGGGAAGCATTGGCTGCTGAAGGCCATCTAAACCCTTACAAAAAACCTAGAACCAAATAAAGCGCTACAAGGCCAGAAATTCAAGAAAGCGTGCAACCTTGGGAACAAACCCTAAACCCCTAAACCCCTAAACCCCGAAAGTCGAAGCCCTAAACCTTAAAGCGCAGAGCTCCTTGATCTCCGCAGGATCCCAGTCGGCATTCTCCGCGGCAGGGGCCTGAAATCCCCCGGCTCTACAGGCTCGAGCCTGGACCCTTAGAAACGAGGGAGGCTTATAGGGTTTATAGAAATTGTTAAGGGTTTGGGTGCCAATAACGTTTTGACCGAAAGTTTTGACCATAAGTTTTGACCGAAACGTTTTTGGAACCTGATTTGATTTTGAATCTGGGGATGCTGGGGGGCGCGGGGGGTGGGCCTGGTGGGCGGGGGGCTGCTGGGCTGGGCGGTGGGCTGGTCTTTCTTGAGGGTTTAGGGTTTAGGGTTTGGGGTGAAGGGTTTGGGGTTTAGGGTTTGCGGTTTAGGGTTCAGGGTTTAGGGTTTGGGGTTTAGGGTTTAGGGTTCGGAGTTTAGGGTGTGGGGTTTAGGGTTTAGGGTTGGGGGTTTCGGGGTTTAGGGTTCAGGGTTTAGGGTTTAGGGTTTGGGGTGAAGAGTTTGGGGTTTAGGGTTTGGGGTTTAGGGTTTGGGGTTTAGGGCTTAGGGTTTAGGGTTTGGGGTTTAGGGTTTAGGGTGTGGGGTTTCGGGTTTAGGAGGAAGCTTGGGGTTTAGGGCTGACCGCAGCTCTTCCGAAGAGTTCATTTGTTCTATGCCTGATTCAAGAGTTTTATGGGATCACGATAGGAACAGTTTTGTAAACTTTTTTTTGCAGGTTTCGGTTTGCTGCTACGAAGGATTTTGTTGTTTGTATGCTTAGGGCTCTGTAGGGTTGTCTAGGGTTTAGGGTTTTCTAGGGTCATCTATCGTCTCCTTCAGATCTCGGGGTTTCCTTAAACCCTAAACCCTAAGAATGCTTTTCTTGGGGAGGGTCGGGAATTTGGGGTTTAGAGCTTTCCTGCTTCAGCAACTAGGGGTATTAGAGTCCAGGGTTTGTGGTTTAGGGTCTAGGGTTTTTTGGGGTTTATAGGTTTTAGGGTTTAGGTTGAGGGTTTAGGGCTTCGGGTTTAGGATTTAGGGCTTCAGCAATCAGGGGCTTTGGGTTTACGTAGGGTTATAAGTTCAAGACGGGTTTAGGACTTACGGCTTTGGGTTGTCGGAGTGCAGAGGTTTAGGGTTTAGGGGTTTAGGGGTTTAGGGTTTAGGGTTTAGGGTTTAGGGTTTAGGGTTTAGGATGGTTTTCTGCGAGGATCTAGGCCTTGCAGCGATAGTTCGACAGATTGAACGTCCTTTCAGAACAGAAACTGGGAAGTGTATAAATGCAGACAAGCAGGGAACGCATGATACAGCATGATTTTCCGTGATGTCATGCAGCTTGATGAATCAAGGAGTGCCTCTGCCGCCCCTAGCAGTAGCAGGGACTACGGGAGGTCTGAGCGGACTTGTTTTGGGGTTGCTTCGGGAGGTTGCGTTCAAGGATTCGCCCCTTGCGGTGCCGAGCGCTGAGGCTTGCCCATTCGCTCCACTCCTTGAGCCTTCCATCCATTGGCCCTCCCTTGCTTTGGGAATCCTGATTGGAATACTCCTCGGCCCAGCCCTTGATTTGGCTTTCCTCCTGAGGCTTTCACTTCTTCGGGCTGCCAGGGGTAGGCTAGGAGGGTTTAGTGGGTGGTATAGGGTGTTGGATGAGTGAGGCTGAAGTTCTGAGGCTCCGCGCAGAAGTGGCCGAGCTCAGAACTCTTCTGCAATCTTTGACTGCACGAGTCCAGGCCTTAGAAAACTCCGAAGGTTTCGAGGTGGTTGCGCCACCCCTTGCTTCGCCGGACAGGCGAGAAGTTGCTGCCAGGAGCTCCGAGGCTGGATACCCGCGGCTTGAGTCACCAGGTGAATCGAACGGAGGACGCGACCAGCAGCGAGTGGCGGTGGCTCGGGAGATCGGGGCTTTCCTGAGACGGGCTATCAACGGTGAGCATCGAGGGACGTCTGGTCGCGACAAGGTTTCGTTGGCCTCAAGGTTCTATATCGTGCTTGCCCCTTACAGCGGCGAAGTGTTCTCTAAGGTCCGAGTGTATTCGAAGTTTGCGCCGGTCAAGGCCCTGTGCAAGCGAGGTCCCGACCCTGGTCGGTCAGTTTTCGTTGGGCTCCCCTCCCAGTGGGAGGTGAGCGTGGCACTCGAGGCCGCCGGGCTCCCTTGGCCAGACGGTGGGATAGATGCCGAGTGAAAGGGACAGCGAAGCCAGCGAGGTTGACGAAGGAGGTGAATCTGTCGGGGGAGTGGATCTGCGGCAGCATCTCTTGGCGAGTTCTACCGAACGGGCTTTGGACTACCGAGTGGCTGCGTTCAGTAAAGAGGTGGACGGAGGAGTTATCAGCTGCTCGGTCATCCCCGTTGCCGAGCGCGAGGGTCTGCTGATTGTGGCTGTGCCTCATAACGCATGGCACCGCGTGGCAGCCCGACGTTACTTACCGAGGCAGTGTTTGCAGAGGGCGGTTCACTCCAGGTGTTAGCCGCAGATCAGAACGACCGCAGCAAAGCCCATGGGCACTTCAAGGTCCGGCTTTGGATCGGGCTGCTGGCGGCCGAGGAGGAGCAGTTCTTGGTCTACAGGGGCGAAGACGAGCCTGCCGAGCGAGGCTTTGTGATCACAGGGACGGAAAGGCACATCTTTCCGTACGGCCCGTCCTTGACTACCGCGGTCCGCGACCTGTTTGCTTTCGTTTCAGCGGCGGAGGAGCCCACCGCCGTCCCGACGGGGGAGCCAGAGGAAGGCCTGTCTGGCAAGGTGAAAAACATCGAGGCAGCCGTGCTCGGGTTGCAAGGAGGCCTGGATGCTATCAGGGCAAGGCTGGAAGGTGGGCAGAAGGGAGCCGCTGCGAGCAAAGTGGGGGCAAAGCGGAAAGCTCACTCTTCTATGCCGCGCCCCAGAGGCAGTCATATCCCTGGCCTGGACCCAGCAGTGCTCGCTGCGGCCCGTGCCGCAGGTGTTCCGGAGGACCAGCTGGAGAGGATGGGCGAGCTAGCAAGGCAGCCGGGGCGCCTGGGCGATGGAGCTCGGGCGGCCGCTTCAGCTTTGTCGGAGTCAGAAGGCGAGGAGGAAGAACCGGAGAAGGGCGCGGAAGCTCCCGAGGACGTGAGCGCGGCGATTTGCAAGATGACCCAGATCCTGGATCGGCTCGCCAAGTCGCGGAAAGGCGGCAGCTTGGAGGATCTCCTGGACAGGGGAGAAGGAGCCGAGGGAGCTTCTGGCAGCGCTGGGGGGACGTCGAAGGCGGCGGCCTACGCAAAACTGTCGGGGCTCCTGAAGGAAGACCCGTCCCGCATCTCCTCCGTGCTGAAGCTCATGGCGGAGGACTATGGTGCCCGCACGACTGCTCCAGGGCTGGACGGAGTGAAGATGACAGCCCGCTCATGGCTAGAACATCGAAGCAGGGTTCAGCAGTACGCTGGACCGGTGAGGTGGGGATGGCAGACAGCGACAGCTTTGGATGCTTTACTGAGTGGCAATCAAGAAGAATGCAAAGCGAGACTCTGCCTGATGCTTTGCGCACTGGACCAGAGCTCCTTGGACGCAGGGAACTGGTTGTTGGCCCAGGAAATGCATCTGGAGCCGGGACCCCCACTTTCCAGCTTCGGGAAGCACAAGCCCCCGGACCCAGGCGAGGAGCATCGAACACGGATCATGGATGCGCGCTGGGTGAGTGTGCTAATGGGCAGGCTGAGAGAGCGGGAATCGTACCAAGAAGCCCGCAAAAAGCTGGCTGGACCCAGAGGAGGAGGAAGCCAGCAGGACGGCGAGAGCCGGGGCGAGAGGCCCGGCAAGGGCAAGGGGAAAGGCGGCGAGGCGCAGAAGTGAGGACGTCCCGCCTGACCCGTGCGTGTTTGAATGGAGAAGGGAATTCAGGAGAGCAGGTGTCCCATCATCTTCCCGGTGCAGCTGCTACTCCCGTTGCAAGTTCAGAGGTGTGGAGTTCTTTCTTTTCTGTGCTAGGTCGGGCTAAGACCCCCTTGGCCAACTTTTGGCATTCCCTCCGGAGTGCTCCACCTGGCAAACTGCCAGGGCAGCGAGGGCGACTGTGGCCTATGCCGGTGCCCTATCCCGACCTCCATCTTCGTGGAGGCCAGCGCAGCCGGAGCGACGTACCGCGAAAGCTTGCGCTCAATGCAACAATCTTAGTTTTGTCGTGGCTCTATTTGGGCCAGCCCGCGACTCCCCGACGGTCCGATGCCCTGGGTCTTGGAACTCCGCTCAGTTCAGAACAGTGGGCTGTAGTTGAGACTTTGGGGCGGGGCGTGGATGCTTGGAATGCTCAGCCTCTGATAGGGCCGGAGGCCATGGGGAGGAACGCCGCTAAGGTGGAGAGTTGTGAGGAGATTCTTCGAGCTCTGGAAGAGCGGGGAGACTCACCTCAGTCCTCAGGAGGAGCGACTGCTGCAGGCCAGTTTCTGTCAGCACGAAGTTGCGGGACTCTGAACTTGGAGCCGGCCAGCCTGGCGCAGAGCATTGTGCCGGAGCGGCTCAGGTTTTTTGAAGAGCCCAGCTTTGACCCGCGGCCGTTCATGAGCAGTCAAACCCGCGCTGTGTATCGGAGGCCTCTGGATTTTGCGCGGCCCATCCCTGAGGATGAGGCCGTGCCGAAAACGCAGGTGAGATGCACGCGAGACGCTGCGCTTCGACTGCTGAAAGTCTTGGATGGTTGCAAGAGACTATCCCTGCGGCCGATCGGTGCCGTCAGGGATCGGGTCCTGAATGGGTTGTTTGCAATACCGAAAGATCTGCAGAGGGATCGCATGGTATTAGATGCGCGTGCTCCCAATCAGGCCGAAGCTGTGACTCAACCGTGGCTTCGTTCGATGGCATCCTTAGAGCAATTACAATGGCTAGAACTGAAGGGCGACGAAGACCTGCGGGTAAGCGCAGAAGATCTGAAAGAATTTTACCATTGCTTTCAGGTCGAAGAGCAGCGAATCTGCAGGAACGGGCTTGCGCTGAAGTTCCGGCCGTGGGAGTTAAAGGACTTGGGATGCTACACGAGCGACCTGGATGCGTGCGACTATGTGCGGCCGCGCCTCAAAACCCTTGCGATGGGGGACTGTTGTGCAGTGGGCTTCGGCCAAGAAAGTCACTTGGGTGTCTTGCTGCAAGCGGGGGCCTTACAGGTGGAGCTGGTTACTTTGACCGGGAGGCCGCCGCGAGAAGGCCTTGTCGGTGGGTTACTCATTGACGACCTGGCGGTCTTGGAGAAGGTGAAGAAGGGCAGCAGCGAAGCCGAGCACAAGGCCCCGGCGGTCATGCAAGCCGTTCATAGCGCCTATGAAAGTGCCGGGATGCCACGCAATCGAGCGAAGTCCGTCGCCAGTGCAAGCACCGCAGAGTTCTGGGGTGGTGCTTTCGACGGGATCGAGGGCACCATCCGGCCGGCCCCTAGACGCACCGTGCCGCTGTCGAGTCTTCTGCTGAGAGCGGTGCGGGGAGGGTTTGTGACGCCCGAGCTCCTGGAGGTGTTTGCCGGATCGCTGGTTTCGATTTTTCAGTGTAGGCGCCGTTTGATGTCAGTTCTGGATAAGATCTACTCAGAGCCTCTGGGAGTGCCTCCTAGGGTCCTAGGACAGTCATGCAGATGAGTGCTGAGCTGAAGGACGAGCTCTTGGTTTCAGCTGTCTTGGTTTCTCAGGCCTGCATAGACTTCAGAACGCCGGGAGCCCCGGTGATCGTGGCGAGTGACGCTTCGTCTAGAGCCGAAGCCGCGGTCTTCGCCCCAGTGAGCCGAGAAGCGTCAGCTGAGTTTTGCCGGCACGGACTCCAGAAAGGTCTGTGGTCAAAGCTTCTGAAGCCCGTCGATGCACTGCTCCGAGAGCGGGGTGATTTGGCTGAGGACCTCCAACTTCCCAGTGGTGTCTACAGCTCCCACCCGTGCTGGGAAACTTTGAGCAAGTGCTTGGCGTTCAAGCAGCTAGGCAGGACAAAGATCCCAGCGCCGCCACATCAATGTGGGCGAGCTGCGCGCAGAGCCGAGTCGCTGGTGGGCAGGAGGTGGCCGTCGAGCCGCTACATGCACCTCCAGGATTCTCAGGTGTCCCTGGCCTGCCTCATAATATAGGGCCGCAGCAGCTCTAGGGCACTGAACGTTGAGCTCAGGAAGTCCTTGGGGGATTATTTGGGGTTTAACGTTAGGCCTTCGTATGGGTTCCTTAAGACCCACCTGAACCCTGCAGACGACCCTACGAGAAGCAAGGCCGTCCGGCCACCGTGTGAGGCGCCCCCACTGTGGATGCGAAAGCTGCTGGAAGGAGAGTTTGGGGACTTTGACCGGTTCCTTGCTCAGAATGGCATGCACCTCGACCAGCTGCGTGAAGTGCCGGAGAGTTCAGAGCTGATGCCGGATGCCCCTCTCCCTGAGTTTGCTGTCGTCAGGCGCCCTCCGGTAGCGAGCCCGCTGCCAGCCGAGAAGTTTGCCAGGATCTGGTCCGGCTCTTAAAACTTCTGCCGGCGCAGCCCAATCCGAGAGGGCATCCCAGGCCGGGAACAAAGTGTTTCCAGAGCGGTTTGTTCGTGCACGGTGGGGTCGTGGGCTTTCGCAGTGCAACCATGGAGATGCCACGGAGCACCAAAGTTCTCTGCCAGTTCGTTCGTGAGAAGCAGCCTGAACTCCGGTTTTCTAGTGTAGGGCTCTTCCGGAACATGCTTGCTGACTGCCATGTTGACGCGCATAACTCCCCTGAGGAACCTAACTTTATCTGCGGGTTGAGCAAGTTCCGAAAAGGGGGGCTGTGGGTCGCAGGAGAGACAGGAGCCGTGTGGCGGCGATACCAAGGAAAGGATGTGCCGGGGCATGTTAAGGACATTCGAGGGGAGCCGGTCCTGTTTAATCCTCACTTGCCTCACGCTACTGAAGAATGGACCGGGAGCCGCTATGTCGTCGTCGCTTACTGTGTCAGAGTGCTGGAAAAGCTCAGTGCGGAGCAGCGAGCGGCGGCCGAGGCGTTCGGTTTCCTTCTCCCTGCCCCTGTGCAGGAAAGACTGCAGGACACCGCTAACACCACAGGTTGCCCGCGCGAGGCAGAGGCCATGGGGGACGCCGAACTCGACTCCCCGCGTTCTCCCATAGGTCTTCAGGAGCCGCAGGTGCACTCAAGTCTCAAGGCGCCACAGGCCAGGTCGAGCGAGGGTACTAGCCCAGTGAAAGCTGAGCTCGACGTCCAGCGTTCTCCAGATGGTCTTCTCACGCCGCAGGAGCGCTCATGTCCGAAGGTGCCAGAAGCCAGGTCAGGCAGCGATTCAGGGGGACGCAGAGCTCGACTTCCTGCGTTCTCCCGTAGGTCTTCTTACGCCGCAGGAGCACTCAGGTCACAAGGCGCAGCAGGCCAGGTCAGGAGAGTCAGAGATTTCAAGGGACGCCGAGATCGACTTCCCGCGTTCTCCCATAGGTCTTCTCAAGCCGCAGGTGCACTCAGGTCCGAAGGTGCCAGAAGCCAGGTCAGGTGAGGCTGGGAGTCAGGGGGACGCCGAGCTCGACTTCCGGCGTTCTCCCGTAGGTCTTCTTACGCCGCAGGAGCACTCAGGTCGCAAGGTGTCGCAGGCCAGGTCAACTGAAACAGGGATCCCAGGGGACGCCGAGCTCGACTTCCGGCGTTCTCCCGTAGGTCTTCTCAAGCCGCAGGTGCACTCAGGTCTAGTTAAAAATGAGCCGCAGGTGAGAGGTCCGAACCAGCCCGTTTCAGAGCCGCAGGTGAGAGGTCCGTTCCAGCCGTTGGAAGAGCCGCAGGTGAGAGGTCCGAAGGCGTCAGGTGCCAGTGTTCAGCCGAGCGTCGTAGGGAGTTCCGTGCTCGACTTCCGGGCTCCTCACGCCGGGTATTGTGGTGCGCTCGACTTCCGCCCGACCCCTGGCCTTTCGCCTTCCGGTGCGACTCGTCCTTGCCTGGGGCACTTTTCCCCGGGCCAATTCGTTTTCTCTTCCTCGTTTGCTTCGCTCGGTGATGCACTTGCAAGAGGGCAGGGCTGGGTTGACTTGTTTTCGGGGAGTAGAGGGCTTGCTAAAGCGATTGCTGCAGCCGCGCCATGGTGGGTTCTCTGCTTTGACTGGAGGCATGATGTTGAAGAAGACTTGAGGAGCGGAAGGCTGAGGAGTGAGATCAAGGAGCTCCTTGAGTCGGGGCGAGTCCGAGGTTTCTCAGCTGACCCTCCCGCCGGGTCCTTCTCTACAGCGTTGATCCCAGCCTGGCGTTCGAAGGAGTGGCCGGGAGGTGTTCCGGGACTGGACAGCGAGAAGGCGAAGAAAGTCAGGGTTGAGAATGAGTTGTCGGTTTTTTGCAGCGAGCTGATTGACATCTGTGAGCGCAAAGGCTTGAGCTACATCGTCGCGAACCCCGAGAAGTCGCGCATGTGGCGAATGCCAGAGTGGAGAGAGAAGAGCATAACAGAGCGAAGCTTCGTAGTGGACTTCTGCAGGTTCGGGACTAGCTGGAAGAAGGCTACCCGTATTGTCGCAAGCGGGCAACTGGCGAGGAAGAAAATGCTGTGTGGACATGGCCGGGCTGATAACTTGGACCCTGTTGGCCGAGGCCTTCCCCAAGAGGCTGTGCACATTGCTGGCTTACGCCGTTGCTCAGGACGAAGGCTACTACGACGGGTTCCGGAAGCTGGACATCGGTCGATGCGCGAAAGTTGGGGGGCTGCGTGTTGGCGAGGCTGCTAACCCCGGACCTCGCCAACCGCAGCCGCGCACCCCCGCTTGCCTGAGCGAGGTCGAGTTGGTGGAGCCTAAGACTGCAGCTGTCAGGGACAAGCATTGGAGAGCGTTCCTGCAACACTTGGGAAGTGGGCTGGGAGACGAAGGGGTGACGTCAGTTATGGAGGTGCCTTCGTTACTCGTTGCCATGCTCTGCTCCTATGCCCAGGTGATGTATGACGCTGGGACTCCGTTGCACTACTACCGCCAGCTGCTCGCGCACGCCCAGAGGGTCTGCCCTACTGTAAAGCCGCTAATGCGGCCAGCTTGGGACTACGTCACAAAGTGGGAGCGGCTGGAGCCCCTCCAGCACCGGCCGCCGGTACCAGTGAGGTTAGTCAGAGCAATGGCCGCAGTGGGGCTGTCATGGGGGTGGACGAGATGGGCTGCGACTACTTTGTTGTGCTTCTACTCGATAACGAGGATTGGAGAAGTCCTCTCCGCGACTCGCAAAGACCTGCTTACAAGAGAGGACGCCATGGAGCCGGAAGGAGGCCTTTTCTTGCTAATACGGAAGCCGAAGACGAGGAATAGAGGAGCTCGGGTCCAACATGCGCAAGCTATGGGGCCCGAGGAAGTACTGAGTTTCCTGGAGAGGACTTTTCAGAACTTGACGTTCTCTCAGAAGCTTTATGGAGGGTCGCCGAGCGTCTACCGCCGCCGCTGGGACGCTGTGCTCCGACAGTTGGGGATACCACAACACCTTCGACTGACACCTGGATCCCTCAGGGGAGGAGGGGCAGTGTATGCCCATAAAGCAGGAGCAGCTATCGGCGACCTCCAATGGCGTATGAGGTTAAGTCACCAGAATACCTTAGGGCACTATCTTCAGGAAACTACTGCTGCTTCAGTCCTACCGTCCTTGAGTTTGGAGGCGAGGCGAAACGTGTTGGCGGCAGAGGCTTTCCTCCACTTCTTACTTGAATCTCCGTAGCCAGCGCATCTGCAAAGCCGTGACGGCTTCTACTCTGCTGATGGCCGGCAGTTGTGGCGGAGTGGAGTACAGGCCCATGTAAATTAACGTGGGCATCCACCTTTCAGCTGCAGCTCCGGAGGAGAAAAGCCTGAACATGCTTCGCGGAACATCATGATACAGCATGATTTTCCGTGATGTCATGCAGCTTGATGAACCCTCCCACCCGCCCGGGAGTGGAGTACAGGCCCATGTAAATTAACGTGGGCATCCACCTTTCAGCTGCAGCTCCGGAGGAGAAAAGCCTGAACATGCTTCGCGGAACATCATGATTCTGACGTGAATACATAAAAGGCAATTGAAAATGTTGCATTCAGATCATAGCAGAAGACCGATAGATGGATAGGCAGACAGGTAAGTGAACAGGTAGACACAAGGGTGACGAATAGACACTCTATGGCTCAAGCAGGAAGCACCAAGCCCTGAACCCTAAACCCTGAACCCTAAATTTCCTAAACCCTAAACCCTAAACTTCCTAAACCCTGAACTTCCTAAACCCTGATCCCTGAACTTCCTAAACTTCTTAAACCCTAAACTTCCTAAACCCTAAACCCTAAACTTCCTAAACCCTGAACCTTAACTTCCTAAACTTCCTAAACCCTAAACTTCCTAAACCCCAAGCCCTAAACTTTTCAAACCGTGAACCTGAACTTCCTAAACTTCATAAACTTCCTAAACCCTAAACTTCCTAAACCCAAACTTCCTAAGCCCTGCACCCTAAACTTCCTAAACTTCCTAAACCGTAAAACCCACGCCCTCAACCCTTTAACGCGAGACCGTAAACCCTCAAGACCCAAGGACCCCGGACCTCAGGCCCTAAAAGGGCTCCTCAAAGGGTTTAGGGTTCAGGGTT